GTTGACTGCAATCTGTGATTCACTATCCGGAGAGACAGAGGAAAACCGGAGGACCCGGAGAAAAACTGCCGCACTCTCGTGTGTGAAGTGAGCACACAAATGATCATGAAAAGAGAGAAAGTGGCACCGATTGGGAATCGAACTCACAAATAAGTAGTCGAGTGATATACTTCATATGTCCAAACTCCATCTAAATACTAATACAAACACTAATAAAACAATTATATTTCTAATTAATACTGTATTAATAATACAATGATTTTTATTTGTAAATATATTAATAATTATTTTATTTAGTTTTATTAAATTTATATTTCTTAAACAAAAAGTATTGAACAAATTGTCTGTCGATATCATATGAAGCGTTGGGTTCAATGACGGCCAGTATGTGTGCCCTAACGGACGCGTAAGGGATCGACCATTCATTGTGTCTAATAATGAGGTCCTGAGCCGACGGACGACCGTTTCGTACGTTATTTAATAGACGTAACGTTAGTTTCTTTATCTTCTCGTAATTTGTGTCCAATTCTTGTTCAGTTTGACTGAAAATTATAAAATCAATTTTTAAAAATAATTTTGGTATATTTGTAAAAAATAATAAATATAATATTTTAATCGCAGTTACTGGAATTTAATTGCTCATTTAAACAAGTTTAACAATATATTTAAAAATAAATCTTTGCTATGTTATGCTATTTATAATTTACATTGAATGAATCAATTTCCAATTATCATATTTAATTTTTTGTAACCTTGAAAACAAATAATTTTTGTACTAGATTACAGTTTATATTTAAACATTGTATTAATAAAATTTAATTTTGAAAAATAAAAACATTTTAATTAAATGAGCTAATTATTGTATAATTTTAAAAATAGTTGTTAATTAATAATTTCATTTAATACTCACAACAAAGTGTTGGCATCAAAATTAAACATATGTTGAACAGTAACGCCCAGACTATACATATCGCACTTTGTGTCGTATCGGCGCCCCTGACGGACCTCAGGCGCCAAATACTCGTCTACACCCGAGCACTGGGTATGGGATTGATCATCATCAATGTGCTCTGTAGTCAAACCAAAACCACCCAACTTAACAAAAGTACCGGCATCGGGATCGTGTTTAATCATAATATTGCCAGGGTTAATTTGTCGGTGTATAATTGGTGGAGTATTTGTATGCAAACAATCAATGCCTACAAGTAAGTCATATAACAACTCGGCCATAATGTAATAGCCTACGGGTGGCAGTAATTGGCCATGGTCCAATTGAAAATGAGCTAATATTCGATCGATAGCCTCCCGGAGCGAGAATGAGCACAACTCCTGCTGAACGTAATGTACGGCAAAGTTTGCGAACGCGAACTGATGGGCGAACAGGCGTTGAATGTCCGGTCTTTGGGTGTTTAGGTAAC